AAAGCCTCTCCAGCTTCTGTCTTTCCAACTTCTCTCCAATCTTTTGCCTTCTCTCAAGCAGTCACTCTAGACAGTCTCCATCAAATTCTCAATATGATGTTTCTTCATAAAATAAGGTAAAACACCTCACCCAAGAAGCTTTCCTCCCCTTCTTTCTCTCTGACTTCTCCCCAAACTCTTCATAGATCCTTACAAATCAAAGTTAAACTCACACACACTTTCCTCCTTACTCCACAGGGAGAAGCAGTCATAGAATGGCAGATAGAATTGTAACTCTTAAAGAGACAATCTCAGTTCCTATAGGTCCCTTAGGAGGGGCTTTTGAAATAGATGTTACACTAACTTTGATAGCCTTGGAGTATAACACCAAAGTTCTCAAAAACTTCCTCATCATTGATGAAAATGGGATAACCTATAAAGTTAACTGACAAAGAGGATACAATGCTTCCTTCCTTCTTAAAACTAAAACCAAATTCCCCTTCTCAATACACTCTAGTGGTTCCTTATTACTTCTAGGATCAAATACAAATTCCACTGTTTAGGATCTACAGCCCTTCACAATGTAGCCCCAACTTATCTTTCCATGATAATTACACACTGATCAACTTCCTGGACTTCACAATCCAGCCAAACTAGCTTCTTGCTGTTCCTTACAACATAGGGCATTCTCTCCAGGACATATAGCTCCATCTCTCTCTGTGTCTTTATATCAGCTGTTCCTCATGGCTGGAATGTACTCCTCACCTCTGTCTCTTAGGAGTCTCTTGTTGCTTTCAAAACTCAGCTCACATTTCACCTTCTACATAAATCCTTTCCTGACTTCCCAGTTCCTAGTACCCTTTTCCTCCCTAACCCTTCCCTCAAAATTACCTTGTATTTATCTTTTACAGACTTCTGTCTTGTATATGCTTTAATACGTACATTCTCTCATGACAGAATGTAAGCTACTTGAGAGGAGGAGCGGTTTCATTTTTTTTCTTATATCCCTTGCACCTAGGACAGAGTAGGCACTTAAACATATGTTGATTGATTATGAGAACTATGACTCTACTAGCTCACCTTTCTTTGGCAATAATCAGTCAACTGCTATTAGAAGAAACTAGGAACTGAAGTGCCTAGACCTGGAGTCAGGAAGACCTGAGTTCAAATCCAGTCTCAGATACTTACTAGCTGTGTGGCCCTAGGCAAGTCACTTAACCTTTGTCTTGCTCAGTTTCCTCATCTAGAAAGTGGAGAAATAATAATACCTCCCTCCCAGGATTGTCATGAGAATAACACAGATAATATTTCTAAAATGCTCTGCAAACCTTAAAATGATATATAAGCGCCTGCTTATGCAACCAGTCATTTCTTCCCTCTCAGTCATTTCTAATCTCTCCCTTTTAACCAGCTCCTTTATCTCTCTCCAATCACGTCTTCCCAGATGCAAAAATAACTTCCCTTGGCTCTTCCAGACTTAGCCAGCTACCATTCCATCTCTCCCTCTCACCTCAATTGCTAAATTTATTGGAAAAAGCTGTCATTACCAAGAGCTTCACTTTCCATTCTCTCAACTCCTCATCATGTGGCTTCAGTTCATTGAAACGGCTTTCTCAATGGTTAACTCCTTGCCACCAAACTCAATGACCTTGTTTCAGTTCTCATCATCCTTGTCTTCTTGGAGGCTTTTGACATAGCTGCTCATCCTCAAACCTCGCTTGGTTGAGGAACTTTCCTGGTTCTCCTCCTACTTAGCTAATCACTTCTACTGGCTCCAGATCTCCCCAATCTCCTCAGAGAAAGAGAGAGACAGAGTGTGTTCCAAGGCTCAGTTATTGATTTTTTTTTCTTCCTCTCCCCCCAAGCAGTCTTATTTACTTAGATGGTTTTGAAATGCTACCTCTAAACAGATCATTCTCAAATCTCTAATTCCAGTCCTGACTTGTCCTCTTAGCTCCATACCATTATCTCTAACTGACCACAAGACATCTTCATTTGTATATCCCACCCTCTAAACCACAGTGTGAAGCAGAAAGTTCGTGGCTTCAACCTTTCTCGCTGTTACAGCAAAATTCACCCACCCTCCCTTGTTTGAAATGTTGGGACTATAACTTTTTTCCCCCCTCATCTCTCATATCCAATCGGCTACCCCCATCCTAATGATTCCACCTCTTCAACATCACTTGGCACTCATCCCTTCTCCTCCTCTCTGTTCTCACCAGACTAGCACAGGTCTTCAGGAGATGCCTAACAGGATCTCAATAGGTCATCTGCCTTCCAGCTCTAATCTTTCCTTCATACAACTGCCAGAAAAGAAAAAAATCCTTCTTATACCTAACTTGGTCATCTGTGCTAAAAAATCTTTAGTGGTTCCTACTGCTTGTCTTTTGAGTTTCTTTTTAATAATTTTTGTTGTCCCATGAAGTCACTGGCTTTTATTTGGTCCGTAATTTTCAGGGTGTTTGTTGCCTGACAAGTCCTATTGCTTGTCAAGTACAGTTCAGATTCCACTATCTGCCCTCCACAAACCGGTGCCACCTTACTTTCTAGTTTTCTCATTTTTACTCCTCTCCCGTGCTCTAGGGCCCAGTCAAACTGGACTACTCTCTCTGATCTACCAACTTGCATGATGTTCTGCCTTGGCTCAGAGCCTAAACTATCCTTTCCTCCTTTGCCTGTTGACGACTGATTAAAGCCAACCCAAGTGCCACCTTCTCAACAAAGCCTTTCCTGATCACTCCTCCTCCTTCTTTACCCCTATCCTCATCTTACCCTCAAAGAATCTCATACTGTAAATCTCGCATAGTAACTGTGAATTACAGCTATCTGTGCTGGCCCTCTTTCCCCTACTGGACTCTCAGTTCCATCGAGGGCAAACACAACGTCTTATGTAAACTCTGTATTTTTCCAACACCTACCAGATGCACACGGAAGGTGTTTAATAAATGTTTACTGTATAAATGAACACATGTAAATAAACCAATCTTAGGTACATTGTAACATAAAAACAGGTCTCCCTCCATGCTTCCTGGGCTCCCCCATCTGCAACAGGAATTATTATAACTAGGTCACTATGACTGGAATGCATGGAAATGAAGAGCAACAAAGTTCACTACCAGATCCCCAGGCTAAATGGATACATTTAATGGGAAGTAGGTGGGTGGGAGGAGGAAGAGAAGAGGGATATAGGAGAGAAGGTCACAGACAGTATTCACTACAATTTCTAGGCAGGAATTTACAGGGTACCAGTCGGAGACTCAAGTCTCCAATTAACACAAAAATATAAAGCCTTGCACCACTTCACACAGCTATTAAACCACTACATTCTGTCAGGCTGAGTAGAAAGAGCACTGATTGGACTGGGGAATCAGGAAACCTGGATTCCACCTGACTGTATGAGGTTGAACAGTCACTATTCTCTGGATCTCAGTTTCCCCATCTGTAAAATGAAGGAGGTGGTCTAGAACATTCCCGTGGTCCTTTCCAGCCACAGATTTCTCTAAGCAGTACATCTATGAACTGAGTCAAAAAGCATTTTCCCACGGTAGAACACATCTCTGGACCTCCCACTAACAAAGATACCCAGATTTTAAATCAAAGGCAAGCCCTTCCTCATTGAGATCTCAGGAAAACTCTTATCCAATCCCTCTTGACATTGGGGGAGGGGGGGAAGAAGAGGGGACCCAGGCAGTGAGAGGATGTGCTCGAAGGAAACAAAAGCAAATTGGGTCAGAAAAGATCAGAATCTCTAGCCTAGGCCTGATTCCTCTCCTCCTCTCCCCACCCTTTTCCACCCTATGACTGGGCTGATACCAAAAGTCCAACCTCCCCAACCCCAAACACTGACTCTAAAGAACCCAAAATGGGCAAGTGGCCTGTTTTCTCAAAAGTAATAAAAATCAAGCATTTTTTGAGTCTCACATACACAAAACCAATCCCCAAAAATCCATGAATCACATCACTAAGCTATGGTAACAAGAAAGGATGTTATTTTTCAGCATACTTCAGGATTCTCCCTTTGTCCAGACTCTGTCTATCAATTACACTTCCCGCTCCTCCTCTTTCCCCCACAAACGCATATTTTTTCTGTTACATTTTTTTCCATATTAGCCTTGAGATTTCATTACCTCCCCCAACAATGTCTGACATCTTTTCCATAATAGGATTGTAACCAGGCCATTAGAACTTGGGATGGGTGGGGGTGTTCCAGTATCACCATTTGCTCCCTATTTCCCCCTCCCCCAACCTCCTCCCCTTCGGTGTTTACTAACAGCTGTGAATGCCGCTGCTTCAACGGTTTATTTACACACCGACAGAACAATCAACTCAGTTTTTTATACTGATTTTTAAAAATTAAATAAGACATCTTAGAAGGTAAACTTCCTACAATGGCAGAGATGCAGTTAATTACATTTAAGATAGATTTCCCAGGACTTGCTTGGCTCTTTTTTTTTTAATATTTGTAAAGACTCTGATTCTTGTTTGCATTTTTTCTTTTAATTTACTCTTTTCCCCTCTCAGAGGAAATCCCAAAGCCATTTTGCAAAAACACAACACACTCATCCACTGGCCTCCCTTTTCCCCAAGCTCTGCTTTGGTGGGCTTTGCTTTCCCTCCCCTTCCACAAATTAAATTAAAGCAAATCAAATCCATGACCCCTTTATAAGCCTCTTCACATATCAAGTCCAAGGGCTTCTCCATCGCATAGGTTGAGCTTTAAAGATCCACGCCACAGGGACGGGGGCGGAGGGGGGTGGGGGCGAAGAGACACGATAAGCTTGTGGATAAAATAATGGAGAAGGCCCAAAGCTAGGCAGGATGGGAAAAATAAAAATAAATAAATAAAAGCCAAACGCTGACAGCCAGGGAGCCGAGTCCATGAAAAACTCCCCTGCAAATTAGAGACTGAAAAGAAAGCCATCAGAAGGGAATGAACATGTGCAAGGGCAGCGGCTGAGATCACAGACTTGGGAAGGGAGGGGGGCCTCTGGTACAAAATTAAGCAAAATCTAAAGACTCACCTGGTTTAAATCTTCATCATTGAGCAAATGAGATTCCCGGGGCTTGAAGCAATTCTGACACTTGCTTTTGTTGAAGATGTTGGCCTGAAATTTCCGGCAGGGGTTCTCCTTCGCGGACATTTTTCGGGTGTCCAGACAATCTCTAGAACTGTCCTCTTTACTTCAAGGAAGGAGAGATGGAGAATGCCCCAGCGCCCTGACCCTCGCCCTGGCGGGTTCTCTTTCCCAGGAAGATCATCCAAGGAGCCCCGCGGGCAGGGGATGGGGACTCGAGACGAAGGAGAGGGAGACGGAGGTGGGGAGGGGCCCGAGAGAGCCCGGCACGGTTTCCTCTCAGTTGGGTTGTGCAATAATATCCTCGGATCGGCTGCAGGCTTTGGCAATCCAAGGGCTGGGCGTCTCAAACCGGTCCCCGCTCACTTTGGGGGCATCCCAATTTCAGAAGACGCGAGAAGGAGGCATGGGAACAAAGCTAAAGATATAAAATGTGGGGTCAAGCTAGGCACTGGATCAGTCACCGAAAGAAACGTGCAAACCCATATCCCTTGTCCCGGGAAAAGCGACCAGACCAAGCTATACCACCACAAGCAGGGAGTTATTCCAGGGACGCGGTCGTAACGCCTCTCCCTCCACGACCCGGTGGAGGCAAGCCTTGGGGGTGGGGACAGTCCCCCGGATAAGGCACGAATGCAAGGCGGCTGCGGGCACTGGGCCCGTCCGTATTTCAGGGCCGGGGATTTTCCATGCAGAAGAATCCAGATGGGAAGCCGCCTGGAGGAGTGGGGTCCGAGGGCCCGCCAGCAGAGGCTGAACAGGACGGAGAAATACAACTCCCACCCTCCCCCCTCCCAAACCCCCCCCCTTCCCAGCAAGGGCAACGCTGCAGGTGAAAAAACGCCGGCCCTGGGAGGTCCCCCCTCAATTAAGGAACAATCCCCAGCCGCGGCTTCCCAGGGCTACTCCGCTCGTACAGCCACAGCCTCCGCGGCCGCTTTCTGGTTTTAGCTGGCCCATGGACGCATCCTCTGAAGCTGCAGCTCCTCACTCCGATTCGTCTGCGAGTCCAGGTTATTCAGGGAGAATCACTGCATGGTTCCTCGGGAAAGAGTCCTCCCCGCTGGCACCCTCCGCCGCTCCCCTTTGCACTCCCGGGCAGTTGCAAATGGTAGCCTAGCGTCTCGCGCGTTCCTGGGATCGAGCGAGAGAGGGTGGGAGGGTGGGGGAGGGGTCACGGTTAGAAGAGGAGGGAGGGATTTAGAAGGAGAGGGGGGGAGTTGGTAGGGGCCGAGGGGTAAGTGGAGCCTCGCCCCTTCTCCGATGGACAGCCCGACCTGACCAATGATGGTGGCCCTTACTTGCTAACAAAGGAACCCTTTGACCAATGAGAACCAAGACGGGGGTTGGGGAGGAAAGAAACCGAGTGAAAGCGCTCAAGAGGTAGGTAACTTTAAAAAAAAAAAGAGAGAGAGAGAGAAGAGAAGGTGGGGGTGCTGGGATGGGACATTAAGGCTTGGTGGACCGGTGAGTGAGTCCAGCCTTCTTTCTTGACAGCTGCTGGGATTGGGTCTGGGGCCAAGGACAGAAGCAGGGCAAGGCAAAGGAAAGAAGGGAAACTGTTCTTGAAATGAAAGATTGCAACTTCCCCACCCCATTGCATACTCAATCAGGGTGGGTAGGTAAAAGGCATGGCATGTAATGAACATTGCATTAATCATTCAGCAAACATTCACCAAACCCTGCTCCGGGCTGGGGAAAGTCGAGTTGCAAAGGGGAACATAACGTCGTTGCTGCCCCCGAGAAGTCACTGACAAGTATATGATAATGTAGAACCTGCTCAGGGTTCTACACCTTCCCAAACTTTAGAAAAGAACAGCATTCACAGATTGAGTCCTCCTCCTCCTCCCCACCTTAGTTCTTAGTACTCCAACGGTCCCCACTCTTAAAACTAAAGCTGAGGAGCCCCCATTGGTACATTAGTATCAGCAGTCAGCCAGTTGATACAAACAAAGCAAAGGCATTTTCTGAAATAGTACAACATGAATAGTAGTTTTAAAACAACAACAACAACATTCCTCCATAAAGGTGGAGTACGCTCTCCTACAAATACACAAGAATGGACACTTTATGGACTACACAAATAGATATAGGCACATAGTGGGGAACACTTGTGGACAAGGCAACTCAAAACTCTGATGCTGAAAGCTCCACGTGTCCTTTCTCCTATTGTGGTGTCCTCATGCTGCTCCCTACTGGGTTCCCTGAATCTGCTCCTCTGTGCATCTCAATTCCTAACTACTAGGACTAATTTTACCTCATATCTCAGGAATGATTCTGTTCAGTCAGGTTTGGCTCTTGCTTTTTAAAAGGTACCGGGGGAGAAGCTTATTCTCCAGTCAGCCAATGACTAGCTGCCCTATAATTCTGCCAAATTGTTGGAGGAATTTTTTTGTACCTCCTGAAGGAGTTAGAAATTCCTTTTAGGAGTTGGGTTATTATAGGATCACAGTTGGAGCTACAGGATCATAGACACAGAAATGGAAGGGACCTCAAAAGCCATGTCGTTCAACTCTTTTGGTCTCCCATACTGGTGTTGCAATCAGGCAAGTTCTGTCTCTAACACATACCAGCTGTGTGACCCTGGCACGTCAATTGACCTCTCATTTTAGTGTCAAACTCAAATAAAAATGGATCCTGCAGATGCATATTGACTTAGAAAGCCACAAATCAATATTATCTATGTTATATTGTATTTTTATTTATTTTGCTCAAGATTTCCCAATTACATTTTAATCAGGTTCTGATTGGACCCAGGAGTTTTGTAGGCCACTCAGGATGGAGGTGTGTATCTAGGCAACTCTCTAAGACTCTAAGTGGCAGAGAAGATGCTGACCTGCATTAGTGAAGGGAGTTTCTTCATCCAGGAGTTTTCAATATACATAAAATCATAGGTCCAGTCCCTATTACTAGCCCTAAGACTCTTTTACAAGCTATGAATTAGCCACTCTCACTTTTACACCCTTTTCAATCTACAAATAGGTCACTTGAGTTAGCTATTCATTGTCTGAAATGGACAAAGTCTAAGGGGGGGGGTTGCCCCACAATCCTACATTCTCCTCTTTGGCAAAAAACATGCAGTCCCTGCAAATCATTTGGAATACACCAAGCTATCAGTTATGCAGGTTTGATCCAAGTACCTAATATATGTTATTCATAGCCTGAAAGACAACCTTGCGCATATATATATATATATATATATATATATATATATATATACACACACATAATTATAATGCAAGTCTCATGACATATATAATGCATGCTAGCCATAATGGAGTCACCGAAATAAACATGTATACATTACAAGCAGAAACACATTATATACATGCCACAATTGTATATATAGGACAATACATACTAGAATACATATCACAGAAGCAAATGTCGCTAGCATGTGCAGAACATTGCAACCAACCTGTACATCAACACTATGTTCACATTTATGAAATATAATTTGCATGTGGTTGTGAAACACACACGTCCATCACAGTGTTTCATCTCTCTACATAAATAATCATCTCATCCATTTTTCCAAAATAATGATAACTAAGTCTTTTCATTGGCCAAATAGTCCTGGCATTCCTACCATGACTTCCTAAGCTTGTAGATATCAGTACAGCCCTGTGACCCTAATCCTGAGTTAATTGATAGGTCAGGCTGGCTACCACAGCCTCCCATCAATCTACTCTAGGAGCCTCTACAACTATTTCAACTCCTGACCACTAAGGACTAATTTCCCCCAAAATCCCAGACATGATTCTGCTCATGATTCTCCCTTTTGGCTCTTTTTAAAAGCTACTAGGGGAGTGGTCCCCTGCCTTTACCCTGAGGAAGACCTAGTGAACTTCAAAGGATGCCAAGGATGTTGGATTTCTCTCTTTACCAGCAATGTCCTTGCTTCATCTCCAAATTAGTTGTGTCTGCATTGAAAACCAGAGACAGACTGGATGTAGATTCATAGCACCACAAGGAGCCTAACTAAGAATCTATTTCATACACAAGAGGAATTTCTTGGGCACCCTATGAACAGAAGAAAAGGATTTCTAGTAACCAAAAGCTGTGAGTTAACCCTTTTACCACATGTGGTCTCTAAGCTTGAGCATTCTATCCCCTGGAATCTGTATGTACTTGTGGGAGAGTGATTCATAGACTTTTGGAAAGATGTTTGTATCAGCCTTTCTTATAATACTACCTTAGTAATACTTTCTAAAATTTGGATGACTAAAATGATTCTCAATATTGTTTGGAGAAGTACATTGGTGTAGGCTGGATAGTATTAAGATACCTTAACTATTCAGGGGTACCTCTAGAACCCTCAGGAAGAGATACAGCATTGCTCAAGAACCTGCAACTTGTTTGTGAGAGTGGAGAGGAAATTAGGGTAAGAATTCCCAGAGCTTGTATGAGCTACATGATGCTATAGAATTGGTATTCTGTCTATCAGGGAGTCAAGGAACTCAACCAAGTGCATTCCAGACACAGGACTGGGAGAAGATGAACATGACATAATTGCAGAGAACAGAAGGTAAACATAAAAGACTGTGGTATATAGCCTGGGCTATCTACAAATGTAGGATTTAGACTACTGGCTGACTAGGAGGAAATTCCTGTCCAACCTAATACTTTATCTAGTCTTTCCACAGCTTGGCATGAGGTGGACTTCTATTGATCTGTTATCTTGTGAATTCCTTGCACATCAAGGTTTCTTAGTAGAACCCTTTCACCTGGACAGAAATCTAGGCAACAAATTAGTATAAGGCTGCTACTCCTTTCCCTCAAAGATATTCTTTCCTCTTTTCCTCCCTCCCCTTTTTCTTTCTTCCTCTCTTTCCTTCTTTCCTTCCTTTCTCTGTCTCTCTGTCTCTGTCTCTGTTTCTCTCTCTCTCTCTCTCTCCCCCCCCCTTATTTCACCCACACTAGAAGTACAGAAGCCACACCCAGGTCTGATCTTGCTAATCAGCATAGGAGCTTTGACTTGCTCTGTTTCCAGCCTAAGCCAGTTTGCCTGTCCTTGGCCAGCCTAGCAGCTCCCTTTTTTCATTTAATGGTAACCTTGCAGGAAGTTATACCTCTGGGTGGAAAAAAAAATCTAATCTCAAGTCAAAAAGGAAATCCCAGAAAGAAAGGTGGTCTGGGAGTATGCAAAACCAGGATAATGGCCCAACTAGAGCCTTTCATTGAATTATACATGATACAGTAAAGTGAAAGGCAATACCAGTCATAAAAAGTATTTATTATAAATGGTGTGTATTTAATGATTCTTATCCCTGTTTTTCAACAAGGTAAATCCACATAGGGTCTATTTTTTTAAATGGCAGTCTTCCTCTGGATCTTTTTATATATCAGATACCAATGCATATATAAATGAAGCCAACATTCTTTCATTGTTCCTCTCTCTTGATACATGGCTGAAACATCTTTAATCTGGCCTCAGACATTTAATCAGTGTGTGACCCTTGGCAAGACACACTTATTTCTGCCTCAGTTTCCTCAACTGTAAAATGAGAGAAGAATGGCACCTACCTCACAGAATTGTTGTAAGGATAAATTGAGATAATATTTGAAAATTGCTTAGCATAGTGCCTGCCACATAATAGGAGCTTATTAAATGCTTGTTTTCTACTTCTAATATTCTTTTGTAAAAATGTTATATTGATACATTTTGTTTTTCACAGCATAGTCATTTCCCAATTACTCTTCATAGTACCAGCCTTGTTAAAATAAAATGAAAAATCATCTGATATTGTACTGTAACTATCAAGGGGTCTAGCATTTCACACCCACAATCAGTGAGTG